AGTCTCACTCTGTCACGCAGGCTGCAATGCAATGGCGCAACCTTGGCTCACGACAACCTCTGCCTCCCAGGTTCAAGCAATTCTCCTGCCTCAGCCTCCTGAGTAGCTGGGATTATAGGCATGTGCTGCCACCATGCCCGGCTAATTTTTTGTATCTTTAGTGGAGACGGGGGTTTCACCATGCTGGCCAGGTGGGTCTCAAACTCCTGACCTCATGATCCACCTGCCTCGGCCTCCCAAAGTGCTGGGATTACAGGCGTGAGCCACCATACCCAGCTCAATCACGTTCTTTCTTGGCCTCTACCATAGCCAATGCCCATCTAGCTATATTCCCACAACAATGCCCATCTAGTCCAGTTTCTCAGCACACCTGCCCTCAGCTGAATGTGCCACTTACACTGAATCTACACACGGAAATATTAAATACTTGCTACAGAACAGCTAATTTATTGTCTTGACACTAACCCTTGGTTCACAGAAAGATCTATTACTACTTTTCCTTTCTTTTTTTTTTTCCTTCTTTTTTTGAGATGGAGTTTTGCTCTTGTTGCCTAGGCTAGAGAATGCAATGGCATGATCTTGGCTCAATGCAACCTCCGCCTCCTGCCTCAGCTTCCCAAGTAGCTGGGATTACAGGTGCCCACCACCACACCCACCTAATTTTGTATTTTTAGTAGAGATGGGGTTTCACCATGTTGGTCAGGCTGGTCTCAGACTCCTGACCTCAAGTGATCCACCTACCTCGGCCTCCCAAAGTGCTGGGCTTACAGGCGTGAGCCACCACGCCTGGCCTATGACTTTTCCTTTCTACAAATGGTATGCTATTGTGAGCTGCTGCATCTTAGTTACACTTTAATATAGCAAGATTTCCACAAGATACATAATAATTAGGGCCCTAATCATCACCCTGCATTTTGGGAAGAGATGAGACATAAAGAAGCAGACATTGCCATCGAAGGCTTTTGCACTGGTTACTAATAAAGGTTAACTATCATACGAAGCACAAAGTCTTATCAGTCCATTCAACAAAGCTGAAACGGGGCCAATCTTAGGCACTCCACGAAATGGACAATTTAAAAAGGGGCAAGCCAAGCGATCCCTGAAATCTAAATAAGGAACTGTTTGATTCCACCCCAACCCCCAGCTATTCCTTGTGTTCATACACTTCTGGGCCCCCCGGGTAGGCTAAGCCCAGCAACAGGAAAGCAAGGAAGCCACGCAAGCTTGCAATCCCTGGCCAGGCTGGAAGCAGGAAACGTGAGAGCTCCCAGAAGCCGCCTGGAGATTCGTCTGGGGCTGCAGCCGTGTTCCCAGTTTTGGAGGCCTCTTCAAATTGAACTTCCAAGCCCCGGGCCAAACTCTCCCGGTGGTGTGCTCCTGCCGACACGCGCTCCGTGTGTCTGGCAAGCTGTGTGGTCAGAAAATGTGCTTCCCACGCACTGGGCTCCCACCACACACTGAAGCTCAGCTTGCACAGAGACGCCGCCGACGGCTCCCTCCACCATCTTCTCAGCAAGAGCCAGAGTCTAGCGCAGCCATCCCTCATCCCAGGTGCTAGGAAACATCAAACCCAGCCTCTGGGTTGAATAAGAGGAGACTTGGAACCCACACCCAAGAGAAAGAAAGTAATCAAAGGCAAGCCAAATCCCCATCATCCACAGGAATGTGATCTGTTCTCCAGCACAGAGAGCTGACCATTTTATACAATTAGGGCCCTGGGACAGTTTGGTGTTCCATTTTCCCACAGGTGAAGGTCAGTGGGTCACTAAGTGAAGGAAGACCAACACCCCTATGATGTAGGCAGTATGCCCTGTGCCCAGTATGGCTGATGACACTGAATTCCTGTGGCAACCTATGATGTGAATAGTGTTATACCCATTTTACAGGTGGGGAAGCTGGGGCTTCATTAAAAAAAAAAAAACTGCTCAGGGCCAGGTGCACTGACTCAGGCCTGTAATCCCAGCACTTTGGGAGGCTGAGGTGGGCAGATTACTTGAGGTCAGGAGTTCAAGACCAGCCTGGCCAACATGGTAAAACCCCATCTCTACCAAAAAATATAAAAATTTGCCAGGTGTGGTGCCTGTCGTCCCAGCAACTCAGGAGGCTGAGGTGGGAGAATCACTTGAACCCAGAAGGTCAAGGCTGCAGTGAGTGAAGGTTGTGCTGCTGCACTGCAGCAAGGAGATAGAGTCTCAAACAAAACAAAAAAACAAAACAAAACTGCTCAGGTTTAACACTTTGAGAGTTAACTGGGTTTGGGATTGGGTTAAAAGAGTAAAATGAGTGTGCTTTGAACTAAAAATAGCCAGGATTTTATGAATTATTGTGTAAGGCTCAAATGCCCTATTACCTGATTGCACTACTGTACACACCACGGTGTTTCTTCACTTCTCTGTCTCCAGTCCCCAACACTCACACACGTACGCACACGCACGCACAACTGAAAGCCGCAGGAGGCCCGGCACTGTGTACTCATCTCATCTGTCCAGCGCTGAGCACAGATGAACCCAGGACATCAGTAACGATGTGACCAACAGTTCTCTTTTGCCCCTTCCTCCAGGCAAGCAGGTCTCTAACAAGTCCATGACTCCCCATTGTGAGGTGATGGGTGTGGGAAAGCCAGGATCAGACCCTTTCCCTGGTTCTTCATTCTCCACCTTCAAGAATGAGCCCTCCATTTTCGGAAGTAGACCCCTCCCCCAAGGGGACTATTCTTAAAATCTGCATCTACCACCATTTTCAAACCTATTCTGGGTCCGCAATTGCAGGTGGCCTCCAGCAAGTGGCTTTGGGGCCATGCAATGTCCTAAAGGCCCATCCAACATCCATTTTACCTTGCCCTCTTATTCAATGTAGAGGCAATGAGGCCACACTGGGGGACTAAACAGACCCCTCCAGCCCCCACAGGGAATCTCACTGGTCCTGCCTCAGTTCAGAGAGAGATGGGGGTCTCCCGAGAGCAGGAGTCGGGGACCAGGAGACTTAGGTCTGGGACCTGCCACTCCACTCTTCAGACCTACAAGTCCCCGTCTCAGACGTGAGGACAGTGATCCTGACATATCTGGGCTCAAAGTGTTCATGCCACTTCCTCACCGGCCTCAGCGTCCTCCCCCATACAATGGGGATCCAAATCCCACCTATTTCCAGGTTGTTCTGAGGGGTTGTTCTGGCATAAAGCATATGTAAGATGCTTTATGTCAACTGCTCTACCACGGTGCCTGGAAGATGCTTAGCTTCTCCCAGAGTGGTCAGTGATTAACAATAATGATAGTTACTACTGCCACAACACTTAAATATGGATACTTCTGTCCTTCCATTATGAAATGGATTCATTTGCCCTGCTTAGCAAAGTTCATCTGACTCTTAGTTTTCTCTCCACCAGCTCCAAAGCAGGAAGCAGCTGTGAGTCCTCAGGGTGGGGTGGGCAGGGTCCCAACACTCGGCCTTCTCACCAGGCTGAGTGCTGAGGCTCTACTCCCTGCTCCCTCCTTCCCGAAGCTCCAATCTGGTTTTCCTGCTGCTCAGGCTGTGCCTTTTCGGCCTCCACCGCTGTTTCTGGTCTAGAGATTAGTCAATTTCTAGATTTGAGAATTTTCTCAGGACCTGACTTCAGGCTTCTGTTCTCCCCCTCCAACCTTGTCCAAAGATGAGTTTGTCCATGCCCATGGCTGGAACTCACAGCTCCCTTTGCTTGCTCCCAGCTGTGAGCCCACCCTCGGAGCTGAGCTGCTGCCTGCAGCTTCTTCATTATCTCCCCTTGGATGACTCAAATATGGTCAAGACAAGCTCTAGATTTTCCACCCAAATCTATGCCCCTTGCCCCACCCCCAATTCTCAAGCCCCCCCCAGACTTGGAAGCTGTACTACCATCCGGGTTTTCAAGCTGGAAATCCAGAAGTCATTCTTTCTCCCCCTCCTATCTAATCAATCCGTTCACTATTCCAAGAGCAGCATATGTCCAACATCAGCCCACCAGCTTCTCTCAGTGTCTTTGAACCCAACAGACCCTGTCCCAAACCACGATCACCTTTGGCAGGGGCTCAGCCTTCCTATTCACCACACAAGCAGCAGTGGGAGTCACCTTTGAAGCACAGACTGAGACCACTCCTCCCCCTTGGTGGCCTCCATGGCAGTGACAGCTAAGTGCAGCGTCCCTGCATGAGCAAGACCTCATCCCACTGTTTCCCCCATGGCACCTTTTTCAAAAAAATTTTTTTTTTTTACAACCTTATCTTCATTTCCACATTTGCTGTCAATTTCTCTCACTGTCACCCATGGTTCCTGCCACAAGCAGTCAAGGACTATGTCTATTCTGGCCACAATGCTGGAGAGCCTGACCAAGGGCATGAGACATCTGGGGTGCTCTAGGAATAGAGGTTGAAGGATTTAATAAAATGACCAGGCCAGCCCTCCTCCTGCATTTCTCCTAGTAGCCCCACCCTGCTGGGTGCAAAACTGCTTCCCCTATCTCCCACACAGGTAGGGCAGGGAATGACCAAGACCAGAAGATCAAAATAGGCGGCCTACAGGTAGGCTACCCTCCCAGGCTTGTTTAGGAAGAGTTCACAGCTGCAGAAAAGGTGGGATGGCACAGTGGGTATCCATAGCTACTGGGTTTGCTTGTCACACCTACTCAGTCACTTGCTGTCTCCACGTCCCGCCCCACCGACCCCCACACACATACACACAGTACATGCACTTTATGGCTGGACCGCTTAAAATTGAGTTGCAGGCATTGTTGATACTTCATATAGCTCAATTCTTCAGCCTATTTCTCCTACAATACATACCACTGTCACCAACCCCCAAATTCAATATGGATACGGAAATATAATCAGTAATATTATACAATCTATATTCAAATTTCCAGCATTCACAAATGTCCTTTCTAAGATCTGGCCACCCTCCCAGCCCTGCGGAATCTGGTCCAGGATCCCACTTTTACACTTAGGAACTGCCTCATCAGCCCCCTTTATCTGGAACTGTCTCCCCAGCAGTTTTTATCTTTTGAGACACCGACATTTTGAAGCCATGTCTTGTCAAATGTCCCATGTTCTGGATCTGTCTGCTGTCTCTGGATGCCAGTTACTTTTTGACTGGCAAACTCCCCTGCATACATGCACACACACGCACATGCGTGCACACAGACACAACCGCGGAAGTCAAAACTGTGTTTAATTAGTTTCCTACAACCTATACATTGGGAGAGTTTTATAGAAAAAAAATCCGAAAAATTCTTAAACTCTAAACTCTCTTGAAAAAATTTTTAAAAGTCGTTCTTAAAAAAAAAAAAAA